GTAGGTATTATATTTAAAATGCAAGGAATTTTAAAACAAACTTCAAGGTCGATTTAAAAAAGAGATATAGAATGGCAAAAAACTATTTCTTGTCAATGGCAAAAGTTGTAGTGGAAAAACAACGTTGGCAGAACAGATCGTAGACATTTAAAACTCAAACAAAGACCTTAATCCTTTTATTGTTAATGGCAATTATTTTTCTTCTTTCTTTGCTCTGGAAGCATTTAATGTTTATTATATAATTAAAATTTCTATAGAGAAATCAAAAATAATTATAAATTATAAAAACGATGATGTTGTTATAAGTCCGCATCCAGATTCAAATGAATATAAAGAAATCTTTAGAGAAAGTAAATATAAAGAAAATAATAAGAATGTATGTTATAAAAAAAAACTTGTTAATAATAGATGATTGTGAAAAGGTGATGTTGACCAATTTGTTTGTGTTGGATAGAACATTAAGACTTATCTTCAACGAAGAAGAATTGTTTGGAGAAATTCATCTTATTTTGATTGGTAATTCAAAAAAAAAAATTGTTCTGTAGATAATATTTTTTCTTCTGCTTTGTATAATAATTCAAAAAATCTTTATAAGAAATTCCAACTTTTCACCATTAATAATGTTCAAACACGGTTTTCAAAAACAAATCATTCTTTAGATTATTAGATATAATCAAAATTCCTTTATATTAAAGGATAAATTGGAAAACAGGGCAGGTATTGTAAACGAACAAGAAAACCTTTTTTTTAAACTACGAGATGAGGATACATATAATAAAGCTTTTAAAAACAAAACCTACTTTTCTAATAATTATGAAGATATCTTATATTTCAATAAAGACATAATTCAAAAGACAAATAGTAGATAATCCTTACTGTTACTTACCTTGTTTGTTCCACTGTTCCACCTTCACGCCGTAACTACTCAACCGATTGCTTTGAATTTTTGCAGACGTAAAGTTACAAGTCCGGATTAAATAATAGGGTACTTTTTAACCCAGAAAAATAGACAAAAGTATTGAATCCTGTATAAATGAAATAAACGATGTTGGTTTTAAATATACAGATTTATTTAACATGCATGGATTATATAAGGTCATCAGACACAAAATGATAAGTATTTATTAACACGTTAAACGCCATGGCAGTCACTGGTGACCGACATTAGCGGAGGATTTGCCTTCAACAGTTTTTTATTGGCAGCCAATGCCTTAAATGGCGCCGACTACATGTGTGGTGTACAGTACTCATGAGACTTCATAAGGGACCTCAATGGGTGAGATATGCAAACAGTTTCCGTATTCCACGAGTTCGTGGAACCACTAATAAATTCATTGTTACAAATCCTACTACAATAAATTATGTCCTGTATAGTTCTACTCTAGGCTTGACTACCAAAAAAAAACTATAACAGAATTGCTTAGAAACTATAAAAATGCTTCTTAGAGGGTCTCCTTCTTCTGTCAGTCCTACTTTATATTATCTTCGGACCGACCGAGTCAGATAACTTTGAATAGCTAGTAGCTTAGCTACATAGTCCCTGGGTGTAAAAACTCTGCCGCAACGGAGGCGGCGACGTGGCGGCGACGTGACGACAGCGACACGGCACCGTGCCAACTACGACTTACGTAACTGGTGAAGTACTGACAGACTTTTTGGAAGGAGATTTATACACTCTAGCTGGGAACGAGAATCCATCACATTTCCAGATTACAATGTAGAGCCTTTGTTGTTATAGTTGCTGATAGTGTAGGGTATGGTTAGGTTACCTATAAAGTAGCGTTTAGGTATAGTGTTCATACATTAGATTTTATTTTCTCACCTAAATAGTGCTCCTTGTGGTAAGTAACAGCAAACAGTCGCAGCAACGATCTCTACTGTGTGTACTACTTACTTACTTTTTAATATGTGATGGGCCGACGCGCGACGTTTGACCACTATCTCGCCGGTGGTAAGCAATGATGCGGTCTACGATGGAGCACGTCGTCCCATAAGCAACCTATTCACTCGGGCATTGAAAACTCCTAGGTTATACCCTTCAAGAAATACAGACTCTGGCAAAGAATTCCACTTTTTAGTAGTAGGTACGCACAAGGAAGCTTATTGTGAAGCGCTCCGTGCGTGTTGGCGGAACATCTACCATGAATCGGTGACGCTTCGCCGATTGTCTTGTGGTACGATGATGGAAAGGACTAGGAGGATTCAAGTTGTGCAATTCCCTCGCACACTCACCGAAATGTATCCGGTAGAACACTGAAAGCCACTGAAGCCGGACCTCCACAAGCGCATCATCGTATCATCATCATCACGTATATACACTACGGGCAGGGGCGTAGGTTACACGGGGCCCCGGACTACGGGGGCTGCCAACATTATATCTTCTCAATATTTATTTTATTTCAGTAATCGCAAAAGTTCACAAGTTGTTCAAGTTGACAGAAACTTTAGTAACGCTATTTTCCGCTTTTCACACAAATTATTAGTACCTATTTGAAATAAAAACTTAAATAAAATTAAACACTATTACTAAATTAAATATATAGGTACAACTTAAGATTAAAATTAATTATAAGAAAACCTAAAAAAAAAAATAGAAAGAAAGTTATTGTTATAGTCTATATACCTATTTTATGCAAAAATACTTTTTCTATTGTGAAAAATCTTTATCCTTCATCGTTAAGAAGGGCCCTATACTTATAAAATTTGTTTCTCCTTCAAGGCACGCTACGATCACTATTAGTGATAGTGATCTATCTACTACTACTGTGTATACTTGATATAGCAATAGTATAGGTACTACATTGCTTGTTAATTGTTATCATGCCATACGTATTTCCCACTTTAGATTATTTCTAGAAACGATAGTATTTTATCGAAGTCAAACCAATAAACTACTTTAAATTATACGAGGCATCTTGAACCAGCAAGGCAGGCTGTGATGGCTTCTCACAACATTATTTTGTAATTGATAGGCATTTCAGGTATTGATGCAGGTCGGTGCAGGACTATAAATAAATAAGAAAAACAGGAAAACATTGCAATATTATATTCATAAGCCAGTGTATGTGGTACTGATATATCAGACATTATACACACAATAAATAAATCGATTCACACTGCATACACCTATTTACAGTTAAACAATATATTTATAACCAATAACATTTCAATGTAATTAATCCTACGACCCGTTGTTATGTATCACAATAAACTTTGCATCGTCCAATAAGAAAGTAAATAATATTTTATTTGTATTTACAATACATTTATTTATTTGTAAATTTTAGTGAAAAGTGGGTGTTACATTGTACAGTGGCATTAAATGCCGTAATGTGCACCTCTACCTACCCCTGTGGGGATAAAAGGCGTAATGTTATTTATTTATTTGTCATATTTATCGCTGAAATGTCTTTTAGCGGTCAGTTCATCTCTTTACGTGATTATGTCATAGGTATACATATCCTACTTAATCTTATAAATGCGAAAGCTTGTTTTCTTGTTTGTTTGTTTGTTACTCCGTCACATCGAAACGGCTGAAGGAATCGGTATGAAATTTGGAACAGGGATAGATTATGGTCTTGAATAACACACAGGGTACTTTTTTCCAAAGAAACGCGAGTGAAGCCGGCTGCAGAAGCTGTAGCAGACTGTAGCTAACAATATCTGTGGACGCTACTCAAACTACGCATTACTACTAGATTTACTACTCCTAACTGCGATCTTCCAAACGCCTGTCATGTGTAAGGACTCTGGTGGAACCAGAAGAAGAGAAGACGTGTTCAGACTGAAGATAAATTAAAGTGAACGTCAAAGCAGTTATTTAAAGAACCGACAGTACTTTTGAAACATTCAAATGCAATTGTCCGTCAGTCAAGCAGTTAAAACATTTACAGTTGTATCCTTATCCTTACTATCCTTATCCTTATACTATTATAAATGGGAAAGTGAGTTTGTTTGTTTGTTCCACTTTCACGCCGTAACTACTAAACCAATTGCTTTGAATTTTTGCAGACGTAAAGTTAGAAGTCCGGAATAAATAAAAAGGTACTTTTTATCCCGGAAAATTTTGATATTCCCGAGGGAAAACAAAAGAATTGGTATAGATAGCGCTGTGTGTATTGGTATATGTCATATAGGCTACTTTTATCCTTTTGTGACGCGAGCGTAGCCGCGGGTAAAAGCTAGTATCTAATGATTTATTTAAATTAATACAAACGCCAACAGGCTATACTTAGTACCTGGTGTAGTCTTTATCTATAATACATAATTAAAAAAAAATAAAGTAATAAAACAGTAGTTACGTATGGTTGATAGTAAAAAATTCGAGCGCGGCTAAAGTATGAATAGTTATAAATAGTCAGTGAAGGTCGCCACTAGTATCTACAGTAGGGACTTGTAAAACTGACTGCCGACTGCGGACGAGACGAACTGCCGCCAGCTGAAACATTCTCGCTAACATAACAAGAAATAATACTGCTCTACGTTCAATTATAAACACAGGTCAAGTTGTAACTAAACTCTCAAACAGTCTCCGTTTTACAAAATACGTCGTGCTATTTACATTATTCATTTGATTATATGTCGATAAAATAACAAATGTAAATAGAACCTTAATACGTTGTGTTTAGGCAACTAATCTAACCAATAATTAAGATGAGATGCGATGCTTCTCCTTTATATCATATTTAACATTCTTCTTACTCGAGTCAGTGTACAGTTAAGGCAAAGCATATCGAGGCACACGTTTTGCGTTACATCCTTACTATTATAAATGGGAAAGTGAGTTTGTTTATTTGTTTGTTTGTTCCGACTTGACGCCGTAACTACTAAACCGATTGCTTTAAATTTTTGCAGACGTAAAGTTAGAAGTCCGGATTAAATAATAGGGTACTTTTTATCCCGGTAAAATGTGATATTCCCGAGGGAAAACAAAAGTATTGGTATAGATGGCGCTGTGTGTATTGATATATGTCACATAGGTTACTTTTATCAATTTGTGACGCGAGCGAAGCCGCGGGTAAAAGCTAGTGACAAATACATAACTTCGACATACTTTACAAACACTGGACCGGTGTAATAATATTATAATATATCAGTCAATTGTTCCAATTTCTCAAACAAAAATGTGTAATGACGTCGTTTGCTAGTGCGTCCGTCTGACATCGGAACTTCTTATTTATAGTACCCACGCGCTGCTGTTATCATCTAGTGCACTACAGTGCTGTGACAGCACCAGACATCATATTGTACATTCAACAATATATAATGTACACACACTACTTCACTAATAAACTCTCTGAAACATAACAGCAGTCTCAAACTTTGTGGTTGACAGACATTACATCAGTACCTAACTATACAACAATACAGCCACTGAGCCACCGAGCCGTCGAGTGGCGCCTGGCACTGTCTACAAGCACCAATATTATAGCAGCTAGGGACAATTTAACGAGACACAGCTCGCTACAGCTCGGTGCAGCTCGGCACAGCCCGACACAGCTCGACACAGCTCGCTTCATTAGCAAGGCACTCATTGCGCGATTTTATTATGGTACCGATTCCTCAATAGCTTGTCACACAGCTCGCACAAGTGGAAAACCATAAAGTTGACGAATGACGTCACTTTCGGCTCCCTGATACAGCGCGACAGCTTGCTGGACATGCAGCGCTTGTACGTCTCCAGCAGGAACCTCTTCTCCGGGGGCATGGCCGCCATACTGTCCGATAGTAATGCTGTCTTCCCGTACACCAGCACGGCGTCAAACTCGCTCATGGGCAGCAGGCCCTTGTTGTTGGTTATAAAACAGGGGCCACAACCTCTGCTCCTGAACACCTCGGCTCCCTCAGCGTCTGAGAACACGGGCCACTCGGGCCCCGCCGCCAGGAATATCAACGCATACTTGTCTCCCACATGCAGGTCCTCGCTGATGAAGGTGACTTCGGTGGTGGGGCCCAGCGCGTACCAGATGAGCTCGTACATCGTCATGTAGAAGATCACCACGAACAGCGTCTTGGTCAACTTGGACACTTGTCGCCAGCACATGGCGCGGACATAGTCCCCCGGGCGCACGTCCCCCGGCGCCGCGCGCTGCCTCGCTTCTGCCAGCCACCCGCCGCCCGCCGCCACACACGCTCGATACCCCGCGCCACCCATTTGTTTACTACGCTCACGCACATGCTGCTGGAATAACAACTTTACTTGCAGGCTGGTCGAAGCAACAAACATTTCTAAGGAAATGCATACGACAGGCTCTCTAATATTTTGTACCTGCAAAAAAACTACAACTCCACCAACAACATTGTATAGGGTCAAAACTCAACAGATCGTAAGTAAAACTAAGTTGGTAAGTTCACAAACCCTTCCTTCACAAACTTTACAGCCTCGTTTATACTAAACAGATACACGGGGGTAACGGGAAACATTTATCTAAGTTACAAAATAGTTACAGGAGTACTATATAAAAAACTATGATAATCCAGTGACCATATAGTGTGGGATCTCTGTATTCACTGGAATTTTACGAACGTTGGAAAATTATCTGTGAATCGAAACAAACGCACATTTCTATGAAATGAGAGCATACCAACAACAGGAGCTTTGTGGTGGTCATAATGATAGCGTCCCACGAACTGGCAACAAACAGCATCCACCTTCGCGAGAAGTCACGTATGTGCGGGGTTTCCAAGATATTTGACGACTTATATTGATGTCTTCATTATCAATAAGTCGCGGTCAGTGCTACAGGATCACATCTGTACAACATAACACCAATATTACGCCATTTGTTTCCCGAAACGTTAAGCAGAGTGTATGTAAGTAACTGCCACTTTTCGCAAGCTATGAAGTGTTACTTAAAAGGGGACAAATCTATTGCCACGTGCCATAGACACATCTATGTCGCGCAATTCCAGACCCTGTACTATAACTGTGAGCATAAAGTAAAATAAATATAGGTACTGACACTCGAGCACAATATACATAAAAGAAAACAGTGCAGTGCGTCGCGAGCATAAACTCGAGCAGCCTGACACTCGGGGCGTGTAATGAAATTCCTCGAGAGTGCTCGGGGATTCATTTTATTTTATTAAAATTGTAAACGGAGTTGATTACTAGGTCGTCATGTCGTGACTCGGGAGGGGACTAGATGGCACCCTGAACGTGCCTAAGTATTTAAAAGAGGAGTTCTCTTAGGACACGACCAAATATTAAAAATAAAAATAAATAAAATAAAACTTTATTCATAATAACAAAAATGCAAAATTCGAAAATATATCTAAATTACGTACAATTGACCTCAAATAGTTAGATGCCTGCACTAGGACAATCCTGTATCGCAGGCGAGAGGAGTTCTAAATATAATATTTACAATAGCACATCTTATTTCTATAAACACAAATATTTATCAGTATGCAATAGAAAAAAAAAATATATAATGATTATTTTAATATACATACATTCAAACATACTTACATACAAAACATAACCTCACACCCTATATTCTCAGAAAAGATAGGCTGAGGTCCATAACTAATCGTAATATAATATTATAATGTATCTAATAAATATACATACGTAAACAATATAATTATAAATCAGTTCGAAAATAAAACTATCACTATTGCCGAGGAATTAACATGCATCAGCAGAAACATATACTAGGCTAAAGTCCATACGGTCATTCACTTGGTTCTTAATTTCACAATAATAATTGTGCTTATTCAGCAACAGGGCGATGAATAATCATATGTTTGATATATAGGTAGTGTTGTGCAAGGAAATACTTCGGAAGTGTCATCAATTCGGTAATGTGACCTAGACTAGAGTATGACGCATTATGTGCCCTCGTAGTCAATCGAATTGATGTACCTGAGTTCTGCTATCTTCCTAGCAGGGCACTCAGGGTCTCCCGTTTTATGATCACTGGGCTTATTAAAGCGAGAGCAAGAGGCACATTTTGAAGCTTCTACTTTTTTCGTGCACGCAGATGTTACATGGCCCATTTCTCCGCAGTGTCCACATGACGAGAGGTCTCTGCATGTTTTAGCGGCATGGCCATACTGTTGGCATTTGTAGCACCTGGTAACTAATGTATAATCTCTCACAGGGCAAGAAGTCCAATTTATGTATATCCTTTCTTGAGTTATGAGGGCTTTGCGGATCTTAGCTGGAACCTGTATGATGAAATTGCAGTTCGCTGTATCTTTCTTCCCGGATTTATGGCTTAATTTGATGTTGCTTAAAAAGGCTTCCAGTGACATCTCCGGAAAATTTTCAGCGACATTTTGCTCATAGAGACACTTTAATACGTCAGTATCAGTCATAGAAGTGGGCACTCCTACTACCGTTATTCTTGGTTGGCGCTTGTTGGGCTCACCGGTAATAAGTCCAGTCGACGAAAGGTTAACTGCCTGCTTTACCTTCTCAACATCTTCCTTGGTCTCAGTGCTAATTATCACACCACCGTTTTGAATTTTCCTGACTCCACGCACATGTAGTTTCATTTGATCCGGGCGAATGATTTGCTGAACTAATGTTTTAGTTTCGTCACTAGATTTTAATTTGTTGACAGGGTAAATGGCGACAGAGCTTAGATTACTGGGTTTTATGTAATCATTTGACCCTTTTTTTACCATATCAGCAAAGGACACGTTTGTTGTTGCGGGAGAGGTCTTAATTGTTTCTTTTAATTCAATGATTTCTTCTGCTAGGTCTCGTTTTTCGTGAAGGTTGTCAATTATGTCGATTGCTTGGTTAGCCTTTTGCTTCAGAGACTGGTATAGGACTGCCATTTGAGAGACGCCAGATCCTATTTTGCGGCTCAGGTTACTGATTCTTAGTTTCTGCTCCGAATTCAGTTTGCCTTCCGTGGCAATAATGCAGACCTCATTTAGTTGCTTCTCGATAGATGACATCCATTTTTGAAGTTCTGATGTGGAGACTACTTCAATATAGAAGTCAGATTGATGACTTTTTACTTGTGAAGCACAGGCCCGGATATTGCTGGGGCTGTTATCCATTTTTAAATCAGTTTATGTTTCCATATTAGTACGTAAACTTCGCAGTAGGCAAAAATTTTAAAGGAGGTCACTATGTATACGTTAATACAATTTTGTTATTTATGCGCACGTCTGTTCACTGCAAGGGCAGCCGAATCAATCCCCGAAATATTACAATAACATGAAATTGTTGAATTCACAAGGAGAGGATAAGTTTTTTACAACAATGTATTGTGCAATGTGGACGTTGCTTCATGCTGAGCAATGCAAAACGCACTAGGAGGAATTAAGGCACGCGATTCTTTCGCACACTTACCGAAATGTATCCGAAAAAAACTTGGAATCCAAAGGCTTGACTTTGGAGCCGAGACATTCTGTGTTCTGTGGCCGGCCGTCCACGAGTAGTTCATGAGCCTCTTGCAACATTATTGTAAATAAATAAATAATAAGAATTATCGTTCCATGCTGGTTTCGACTACGGTGACCGTTTCATGACTTCTGGCGTCTATCGTCGTAAATAGATATATAACTAGAACACAATCCATCAATGTGCACAACTAGAGACCCTCCCGGTAATGAGAGGAATATAGGACGCGAGGTAGTTTTGTATTTGTAAGAGCAAACAAATGTAGTCATGGTTCCTAGGTCACATGTAAACAATAATCAAACAATAGAATGGAAATAAAAACATATTATACAGGACGACTTGTAACTCGACGTATTCCTCTCGGAAGGTAATACAACATATACTTCTGAGGATAATTGTGTGCTTCTGTTTGGCATAATAAAGGAATTGTGTATTAAATATAATAATCTTAGAGGAAAATCCTTCTTAGAGGAAAATCCTTCATAGAGGAAAATCCTTTTCAGCCTAGTACATTTGTGCGATGACGTCAGCTGGAAGGGATGACATGAGTGACACGAGAACGGAGCAGTGCTATGCAGCCGTTTACTTTTTGGGTTGGCGCTCGGACGAGACGGTGGTGTGGTAGTTCTCTCAAGGGCTGTTTTGCAACATTGGTGACCGCTAGTCTGAATTTTAGTTATTTGTACTTTGTTACTTTTAGTTCTTGTTTAGGTTATTTTGCTTATGTTTAGACTGTAATTAAAGAGAGGTTAGGACTGACAGTGTGTTTCTTTTTAAAAAACTTTATTTGATAGACGTTTCTAAGAATAATATTATTGTGTTAGGTGATTTTAATCTTTGTTCGGCTTCGATAAATGTTAGGAATTATAATGAGTATATTTTGATTTGTTGCGGATTCACTCAAAACAATAATGTTTCTAATTGTTTAATTACTTAAGCAACTAGATTTGACATTGGTTATTGGCGAGATGTCAGTAGTTAGGGCGGGTGGGTCGCTCGTGCCCGTGGACGTATATCACTCGCCGCTAGTAGCGAACGTGAACGGGTGCAAGACTACAAAACATACATATAAAATAACTAAATAAAATAGTAGTTACGAAGAATATTCTAAATATACCTAGATCATTTATTTAAAATAATAAAAATTGCGCGCAAAAAGCATGCAAATAAGATACAATGTAGTTTGCGAAAGACCCTAAATCATTTTGGCAATATATATTTGTTAGTATAGCATAATCTCGTACGAGGTTATAGAACAGATCATTTCCAACATTTTTGGGAAACAAGGAGATAGGCAGAAATGAAGTATTTAATTCTTAGTATTAAATTCAAAATGACGCCCGCGTTAACTCTAAAACTGAGGTCCTACATCAGTACCTAAACATTTATTACTAATATTGACAGAAATGTAATTCGTTTTAAAATAGCAAGTAAATTCTTATCAAATTTTGTTTTGAGTCACTCATTTGGTCAATAGAAAACTGCATTTACCTATTTCAAATATTAAAAAAAAATTACACTAAGCATTACAAAGTAATAAATTACTTCCTTGGTTTTATTAGCTACCGAAATACTTTGAATTATTTATAAAATTGTCAAAAATGAATTAATATCTTTATGATAAGTAAAGTGTAAAGAGGGCAATATGTATTAATATTTTAAACAAAAACATGTTAAGGTTATAGGAACGTAAA